TTCCCCGTTACTTCCGATAGGATCCTGTCGTTATTAAGACCATCCAACAGGATCCGATGGCTCAGCTTCGTCCTGGGAAGTGAAGAAACAGATCGATCTGCTAGTCTCAACTTTTGCTTTTCAGCAATCGACCTATTCGACAATTAAGTGAAGTAATATATAAATGTGCTTGAATTAAAATAATTGAAAAGAAAGTCAGAGTTCATTTCGTCAACGCGTTTCATGTTATTTTATTGAAATATTGAAGCACTCACCAGGGCTCTGCATTTACAATTATAAGCATAAGAGCAAAACCTCAAATTTTAAACAAATGGTTAAGAGATAGAATAAAAATAAAAAATATAAAACAAATTATAAATAAGAAACACATTAAGAAGCAAAACAAAAAAAGTAAAAGGGAAAAGATGGAACGTTAATGAGGATAAATACATTACTATTAAACTAGACTGGAACAGGGATGGGCGAGTCAAGCCTTTTTTCGAGTCGAGTCGAGTCCGAGTCATTTCAAAATGGTTTCGAGTCGAGTCAAGTTAATTTTGTCATTTGTTCCGTTTTCTGCTTATTTCATAAAGAAAATTACCAATAACTTTTCATTACACGATATCTAGTTCCTAGTTTTTATGCACAAAAAAGAAAACTAAGAACAAGCATACATAAAATAAAACAACACAATTACTATAGGTTTACCAATAAAATAAGAACAGTAAAATCAACTCCTTTTTTTTACAGTTTTACACCACAATAAAACAAAAAAAAACACTTTTCGTAAACAAAAACACAAAACATAAACTTAAAGTTACTTACAAGCAAAATTATTTATTGACATTTAAATTAATGTCTTATTGAATTTTTGGAATGTTAAAATACAAATATTAGCTTGTGAAAAACGTGAACGATGTGATCTCATGAAAAGGCCACTTTGAGAAAAAACGCGTTCGATTGGTGTTGATGTAGCAGGAACACACATGATTTTTTTTGCAAGATTATTAAGAGATGGATATGAATGTGCTTTTTTGAAAATAAGATCACTAGTTAAATTTTTCTCCTAGAGAAAACAATCAAGTTCTTGTACAACTGATGTTGGTGTTGGATTATCAAGTTTTGCTTTTTTGAATGAACCAATTTGTAATGTTGGAAATAAACATTTTTTATTTTCTTTATCAGAAAATGTTATATTTGTATTATTGCTGCTAGATTAGGGGTGTCGGCTTAGCATTAGTGTTAAGAAAACGCTAACGCTTTTGCATTAAAATTAAAATAATCACTTAATGCTTTTGCATTAGTGTTAAAAAAATAATTTAATGCTTTGGTATTAGTATTAGAAAAGTATTAACTTAACGGTAACGCTTATAGCTCCCAAAAACAGAACAAAATTGTTCCCTTATGGGAATTTTTTCCCATAACAGAACAATTTCGTTCTTTTTTTGGGAACGGCTTCCCATAACAGAACAAAATTGTTCTGTTTTGGGAAAAAAATTCTCATAAGCAACCAATTTTGTTCTGTTCTTGGGAACCCTAAGCATTACCATTAAATTAATACTTTTCTAATACTAATACCAAAGCATTAAATTATTTTTTTAACACTAATGCAAAAGCATTAAGTTAATTTTTTAACTCTAATACAAAAGCATTAAAAATAGTATTAATTAATGCAATGCTAATGCTAATCTGACACCCCTATGCTAGATTCTTCAGATATGATCTGAAGATCAGCACCGGCAATGTTTTCTTTTGAATTAAGTTTTATACAAGCATCAATAATATATTGTTTAATTGTCGAAATAATGTTGTTTTTTTGTTAAATCAGCTAATAAAGCACAATCATTGATCCATTGAAATTTAAAACGTCTATCTAAAACTGGACTTATCAAAAAAATTGAATCAGCATATAAAAACGATGTATTAGCATTTTTATTTATCTTTACTGTACAAGTAACGCTCGTCTCTGCGACTCGCTTAAACCTCGACTGAATATTACAGGACAAGCATGATGTAATTAGGAAAATATTTATATCCTAATGAGAGAAATTATTAAATTACAGTTTATTTTTGTACTATACTTTTGTGACGTATAAGTAATATTTTAGGCATGACTAGGATGTAGGTATGTCCTCTCGGTATCTACACCGCCATCCACATCAACGTTCTATTTACATTTGATATCCGTAACTAGAGTATTTTCTTCTTGTTCTTTACTTGAACATAAAGGCTTGTCTTTATGATCAAGGTTACTGATTCTTAACAACTAGGCAGTAGTATGTGGACTTCGGCTTACATGTACATAGAGCGTGCAGCTGCATCAAGAACATGTCCATGAACACAACTAGACACACATTCACAACTCCATCGACATCGTCACATGATACGCGCCGAGCACCGCCCACACCAACTGCATTCGATACCTCAATAAACAAACCAGAGCCACTACCACACATATACATATGGGGGTGGCCAGTCTGGCCGGAGGGTCCAACTTTTTTTTATCATTTAACTTCTATAATACATCAGAATAATATGATTTTTTTACCAGTTATAGTACTTATCTAGTGCTAATAATTTACCATTTTTCGGGTTATATATCTTTTCAAAAACAAAAATTATCAAGCGCTTTCGTAAAATCTTTTCTGAAATGCTTTTTAATCAAACTTATTGTAAATCGTACTTGANTCACATACTCGATGCCACGAGAGCAACCAATAGGTTAAAGCAACTACTAGTAAAGAAACGACCGAGTAAACAAGTACTAAAATTACCACCTCAATAGCTAGCACGTAATTGAAAAGAAAAAAGAAAATGAATTAAAAAAGAGCAACAAAAATAGCATCAGAAGAAGAAAATAAAAAATAACTGCTATTAATAATAACAATTAATCATACTCACTAAAACAGAAATCAGTAAAAAGGAAAACAAAAATAAGAATAGAAAAAGAAAAATTAAAAAGAAAAAGAAAAAAGAAAATCACGAAAACAGAAGAAAGAAAAATCAAAAACAAATCACTAAAACAACAACCAGTAAAAATAAAAGTAAAAATCAACCAACCAACAAAAAATAAGAATCAAAAAAGGAAAAAAGAAAAAGAAAAAACTACTAAAAACATGACTAACAAAAATACTACTAAAAACACAACTAAAAACAATACTAATAACACCATTATCAAAAAACAACTCATGGTCGCATTCAATTTAATAGAAAAGATAGTTCCATCCTAACTCATGATCCCACTTTATTTATTGTAAAGATATTTTCATTCTAACTAAAGATCTCACTCTAATTATTGTAAAAATATTTCTATCCTATGTATTGAAAAATATTTCCTACGCATAGTAATCTTATTTATTATTCACCACTTGAAAAAATCTTTCACTTGATATTCTTCTTCATTAATAGAAAAAATATGTATATCTTCTTCATTCATTAATTGTAAAATATATATACCTTCTTCATTCATTAATTGTAAAAATATAGATGCTCGATCCCCACTCTCCAATCTCATTCTATTTATTGTAAGACATCTCTCCCCTAGCCCTTGTTTTGATTATTGTGAAAAATATTTTCTTCGCTGTAATCACCCATCCCATTCATTAAAAAATACTGTATCCTTATATTCACCCTATTTGTATGTAAAAAACCGCTTTCTCCTTATTGTAAAAATTATCCTAAAAAATATTCTTCTTTACATCCAGTGTTATACTTACTATTGTGAAAATTATGTTAAAAATAACTCTTCTGTATATGTATTAATCTCTGTATTTTTATCAATCTCTGTATTGATCTCTCTATTTTTACCAATCTCTGTATCCATCTCAGTATTTGTTATCAATCTCTATAATTTTATTAATCTCTGTATCGATCCTTATCTCTATTTTCTTGTGAATTTCTGTATATTTCCCTCTCAACTTTTTATGGATCTCTGTATATCGATCACTCTCAACATAAACATCACCTCAAAATACATTATTAAAGATCATCAAAAAGTCCAATGTAATTACAATTAAGAAAAATAAAAAATGCATTATAATGCAATATCAAAAAATAAAAATGCAATATAATGCAATATCAAAACTCGAAACAATTATCAATCTAGCAAAAAATTCATCGAAAAAAATACGATTTATAAATGCAAAAAATACACTAGCACAAATTAAAGCATCTAGAAAAACAAATTATAAGTGCATTAAAATACATCATCAAAAAATTAAAGCACTTACAAATACAATCTATAAATGCAATGAAATGCAATATAAAAAATCAAAAATTAAAATATTCATCAATGATTCACTATTAAAAGAAAGCAATGAAATACAGTATAAAAAGTAAAAAATAAAAAATGAAAACATTAAAAACCAAAAAATGAAACATTAAAAAATTATAACATTAAAAATTAAAACATTAAAAACCAAAAATTGAAACATTAAAAAATTATAACATTAAAAATTAAAACATTAAAAACCAAAAATTGAAACATTAAAAAATTATAACATTAAAAATTAAAGCATTCATCAACGATTCATTATTGAAAAGTGCAATAAAATGCAGTATTAAAAATAAAAATTGTCTTTTGCAATATTGCCATCTTTATCACATCAAAATATCAAGAAAACAATAAAAATTCGTTGTCCTAGCAATATGGAAAAAATTTTTTTTACCTAAAAAACGCTTGAAAAAGAAATCAATTCGAAAGGCCTAGCGTTATTAATATTAATATTCTTCTTACTATTTTCTCTTCCTTGTTTTTTTTCTCTTTCTTGTTGTTTTCTCATTATTCTTTACTTGATTACCAATATAATAATAAAAATAGTCAAAAAATAATCAAAAAAATAAAAATAAGAAATACAAAAACATTATTTATTCTGTTTATTATTATCTATTAAAATAAAAAAGTTGTGTTGACTTGTCAAAATAAAAAGAAGTTTTACACCATAATAAAACAAAAAAAACCACTTTTCATAAACAAAAACATAAACTTAAAGTAACTTACAAGAAAAACTATATATTGACATTTAAATTAACGTCTTATTGCATTTTAAGGCTGTTAAAATACAAATATTAGCTTGTGAAAAACGTGAACGATGTGGTCTCATGAAAAGGCCACTTTGAGAAAAAATACGTTCGATTGGTGCTGATGTAGCAGGAACACACATGATTTTTTTTGCAAGATTATTAAGAGGTGGATATGAGTGTGCTTTTTTGAAAATAAGATCACTAGTTAAATTTTTCTCCTGGAGAAAACAATCAAGTTCTTGTACAACTGATATTGGTGTTGAATTATCAAGTTTTGCTTTTGTGAATGAACCAATTTTTAATGTTGGAAATAAACATTTTTTATTTTCTCTATCAGAAAATGTTATATTTGTATTATTGCTGCTAGATTCTTCAGATATAATCTGAACATCAGCACTGGCAATGTTATCTTTTGAATTAAGTTTTATACAAGCATCAATAATATATTGTTTAATTGTCGAAATAATGCTGGTTTTGGTTAAATCAGATAATAAAGCACAATCATTGATCCAATGAAATTTAAAACGTCCATCTAAAACTGGACTTATCAAAAAAATTGAATCAGCATATAAAAACGATGTATTAGCATTTGTATTTATCTTTACTGTACAATTATCTGTGTTAATATTAAAATGTTTATAAAAACCACCAAAACGTGTTTTTAATGAAGAAATGAGAGCATCACATAATAGAGATGTACGTTCAGATTTTGTTCTTTCAAATTCAAGATCACTTAATATATTAAGAAGAATTGGTCCAACAATACTAATTGTAACTGTTTGGTCAGCTTGAGCTAAAACTGTTGCTTCATTAAATAAGTACAACAATGCCATAAATTCATCAAGAATTTCTTTATTTTTTTCTGTTAAACATAATTCTTTTTTACCTAATTCAGTTAAAATATCATTAAGTGTCTTTAATGAAATATTCAAAACAGCAGCAACGGTCAAAAACTGAGTATTCCAACGACATTTTGTTGCACGTGGTATTGTTGTTGATAAATTTTCTAATTTTTCTGCAAATAAAATACTATCATGACTAAATTTTGCAATTTTTGCAACTTTTGTTAAGGCAGCAGTTGCATTAGATGCATATTTAATACCATCTTTAACAACCAATTGTAATGTGTGCGCAAAGCACGGTAAACGTAACAGCTCTAAATTTTCACTTAAACATTGAACAATATCATCATCTAACGCTACTAATTCAAAATGATCATGAGAATCATCATCAGATATTTCTTCACAATCATCATTATTATCTTGTAATGATTCATCATCATTGTTACGACCATCATTTTCAAAATATGTTTCAAATCCTGGAAGTAAAATATTATCAAATGCTTTTATATTATTAGCAGCATTATCGGTAATTAAACGTACTAATTTCTTTTCAATACGATAATAGTTAATTACTTTTTCAAATTCAGCCAGTAAAACATCAGCTGTATGACGACCTTTTATTGGTGCAAATGACAATAAATATGATCTTAATTCACCATCAACAAATGTATGTAAAGTAATACCGATATAAGAACGTAAACGTCTATCACTCCATAAATCTAATGTAACTGATACATATTCAGCATTATTACATAATATTTTTAATTTCGTAATCATATTATCATGTAATTTTGGAAGTTTATCACGAGNAGAATTCTCTACAGCCTTGTGTATTTAGTTTTTACACTTGCATTAAACTGTTGAAAAATATTCCGACTACAATGAAGACATTCTCATCTTCAAATTTCCATAAAATGTTTTTTTTTTGCGACGTCTTTGGTTTTAATTGAAATCTGTGATGAGTATAGTAATATCTATTTAAAAAAAGCAATTATAAATTCCGATAGTGCATGAAACTCTCTAACATTTTGTATCTTGTCAGCCTCGACTTGTTATTATTTGCTGGCAAGACAAATGCAGTACATATTTTTTTTGTTATGTATAAATAGTTGTCCATCTTTCAGTCATAATCTTACTACTTTGGAGTGTGAGGCTGTATAACTATTATACAAAAGAAAACACTTGAAGAAACATAAAATACGATTCGTAGGAATGTGAGAGTGGAAAAAGAGTTTTGTGAAAATCTAAAGCCGAGAGTGTCTTTACTATAATTGGAATATTTTTCAACATTTCAATGTAAATCTCATACCAAACACACAAGGCTATAGTTAATTTCAAGTGCTATCAGAATACATGATTATGCTCTTATGCTGAACATATAGTCAAAGTATCGATACCGACTACAACTAATTGTTGCTTGGAGTATATATGTATTAATTTATAATTTTTTTTTTAAATAGTATGGAATTATGGTAATATTGCAAGTGATGGTCTTAAACAAGTAACTGAATGGGGAGCAATTGGTACAATGCAAAAAGAAATAAAAAACCATGTAAATCTCTTTGTATTTTGTTTTTTTTTTTTTTAAATAATAATTTGAAAAAAAAATATATATTCATTTAGACTAAATTTGGTGTTAATCGTAATTCGATGAATGTACCTGGTCTTTGGACAGTTAATATAAGCAAATCAACTACCGGTGCTTTTACAACTTCAAGAAATCATAATTTCTTATCATTTGTTACTACGTTTGAACCATCACCTGATTGGATTATTGGTAGAAATCTATTGAATTTAATAAGAATTCAATATTCTTTTCTTTTTTTTACTGTTATTATTTATAGGTGTATCTGATCTTGATTTATGTCTTCCAAATTGTACATGGTTAGATAACTATGAAGAATTACTTCATCCAATTCATGCTGGAACAGATATGGGCGTTCGATATAATGTGAATGATGATTTAATTTCTTTTTTTTGTTAGAATAAAATAAAAGAGAAATTTTATTTTATTTAGGGTCCTAAAAGACCAGAGAATCGGCGTAAACAAATTGCACCAATTGTTTCAAGTAGTATTACAGATAATCGATCACCATTTTTTGATATGAATTCAGCTTAAAAAAAAGCAATAAAAACAAAAAAAATGTTAAAATTTATTTTTTTCATTGTTTAGGCAATCAACCATCTCCATTTGCTAAATTGAGTACTAAACGAATTATGGTACAAGGTGTAGCTTGTCCAAATGGTCGATTACAACATAGTGAAACATCATCTGTTATTGATTTTGGTTCAAATTTTGCCGATTTAAGTCACGTGGGTGAAATTGAAAATGAAAAAGATATTGCAAAAACAAATATAGAATTACTTGGTAATTTTGTTTTGTCTATTGATTATATTTATGAAAATATTTTTTCATAATTTTAGATGAACAATCATCTGATCCACGATATATGACATCACCATGGATAGATTGAAGTCCATGTAATGTTAAATGTGGAAATGGATTGAGAACAGGAACAAGGTTTATTTGAATTTTTTCATAAATTTTTTAATATTAATAAATTAATTTCTTTGTAGAATCTATATAAATGCTGATCATCATGGATGTAATGAACGATTAAGCGAAAGTGAAATGTGTTATGCAAGAACAGATGACAATTGTGATGATGAACATCAACAAGTTGCACGTATGTTGATTTTACAAAGAATAATTTTTTATTATTATTTTTTTTTATTTAGATGTGCTGTAACTAACTGATCATCATTTTCACCATGCTCAGTATCATGTGGTCAAGACAAAAGAGAAAGACGAGGATGGTATACCAATGAAAATTCACATCATGATCCAAGATGTAAAGATGTTCTTTTAATTGAAAAATGTCTATGTTATGGCGCACATGCTGCTCAATGTGATAATAATGGAAATAAAGGTAATTTTATTATAGAATCATTGATTACGAGATTTTTAGAGATATATTTTATTCTATCAATATAAGAGACTTGTTGAAAACAAAAATGTTAATATTAATGAAACAAAGGGACATTCGTACATATATGATCGACAGACATATATTATTAAAAATGAAAAAAAAACTGGATTTGAAAATTTTGAGCATGCAAAATATTGTGATTAAGAAAATAAATTCGTTTTCTAAAAGTAAAATCCTATGTTGCATGTTTGTTCACACTACCGCCGGTATAGTGCAGATTATACCGACAGTTTGAAACTCATGGAGGATGCTTTTCAATAATCGAGCAACTTTTTTTACAAATAAAAAAGGAAGAAACAAAAAATAGCTCATATAAGACAGATATTTTAATGTATGAAATACATATAAAGAATGTCCCAGAAGTTCTGGAACGGTTTAAAAACTATCATTTTGGCATTCGGTAAAAGCAAAATCTTTGTAAATTTGACAAATTATTGTACCTACTTAGCACTACATAACTCTAAGATTTCATACTTTTTACTATTTTTTCAATTTTCTTGATTAATATTTTTAAATCAAAATAAAAGAAAAAACCTATATCAAATTATCAATATTCGTATATTTGATTACCATCATGATGGATTACTAACTTAAACCGTACTGATATGTTATCTATCATCGATTTGCATTAAAAAAAACAATAAGTTTTCCCTTTCCTTTTTTCATGTCGTTTTTCAATTATTCAATATTATTTTATTTTCGCTCTCGGTAGCTTTCTATTAATGCACTCCAAATATTTTTTATAGGCGCAACGTCCATTACTTTTTCTGATACAATAATTCAAATGAATTTTGTAAATCTATCACCACTAAAATACATTTTCTTATGGCAAATGATAGAAGGTATAGTCTAATGAGTTCCGTCCATTCATTGATAAAACCTTCGTAGCTATTTAATACTAAATAGGTACAATGATCTACCAAAGTTTGCTTTACTCGAATGCGAAAACGACACATTGTAAAACCGTTTCAGAACTTCTGAGACATATTTTATAATCATAACAAAATATTCCTTACGTCCACAGAACTATTCATGACACATTTTCGAAGATAGGATTCGATAAACTAAATTAGTCTTAGAGAAATTCGCTAGTTCTAGTTAATTTTTATTAAAATTCAGATGTCCTCGGATCAACTATTATCCTGACAAAATTATTTTCAATTAATTATATTTCAAAAACAAATATATTTAATAAAAATTATTATCCTTGTTTTAGAACTATGTATGCCTGAACCAGTTGCAGATAATCGATATCGTGGTTTAGAACGATATTATTATAATAAAACAAGTATGTCATGTGAACCATTTTCTAGTAATAGTGCATGTTCTGCTCGTGGTAATAATAAAAATAATTTTCTAATAAAATGGAATGTGAGACTATTTGTAATAATCTTCTGGCTCAAAGTAAGTGTGAAAAGAAATACATATATTAAACAAACAATCTATTATTCTTTTTTTAGATAATGATTTATCATGTCCAATGAGTCCTTGGAGTGAATGGAGTGAATGTTCAGTAACATGTGGTCATAATGGTATTCGACGTCGTACACGAACATTATTAAGTAATCATAGAGCTGTTAATCAATATCGTTGTCAATCATTACCACTTGAAGAAACTCAACCATGTCATTTAAACCTTTGTCGTATGTAGTTATATGTTTTTATTGATGTGTTTTTTTTTCTATTTCATTTTATTAAGCACCAACTGATTGTGTTGCAAGTCAATGGAGTGCACAGTTTCCATGTACAGGTTGTGGACAAGATGCATACAAACACGTACACCTAGTCCTGTACGTCAAACACATAATGGTGGTAAACGACGTGGACCATTAAAAGAAACAAGATATTGTCAAACAGCTGTACCACGTTAAACAAATCTAAATAAAAAGAAAAAAAAATTTAGTTGGTGCTATTATTAAAATAGATAAAACAAATTAATATTATTCATTTTTTCTTTTATCGTACTCATTTTAGAATTATGTTAAAACAATAATAATTTTGTGTTAAAATAAAAATCTTTTTTTTTTAATTTGATTAATATAGAATAAGTATCGTATAAGGCTTTCTTTACAATAAAAAAAATGATGTTATTGGACAGCCCAGAATAAATGTCACCCTCAATATTTCACTAATATCATCTTTGTTGGTTTTGGTCGCACAGACTTCAGCTTTTTCACAAAAGTTTTGTCGCGCAATTATGCACAAAACGGTATGTTTTACTCAGCAAAGTCATTTTCTTCTATTTTTCGAACCTAATAAAACTAAACAAGTGCATCAGGCACAATTTTCATAACTTTCATTTTTTTTGTCATTTTCTTTCGCAGATCATTTTGATGTACACATCAATGTGGTCATCGTTGTGGCTTATTTCCAGCTCCTTGTGTCAACTATTACAATTCAAATTACTTTATCTAGGCCGAATTGATACACATAATGTGCTGGAAACGCGCCACGACGATGACCACATTAATGTGTACAATCAAAATAATTTGCAAAAAAAACCAATAACAAAAAAGACAAAAGTTTCGAAAATTACACATGATGTACTTGTTTAGTTTTATTAGATTCGAAAAATAGAAGAAAATGAATTTTTTGAAGTGAAACATACCGCTTTGTGCATTATTGTACGACAAATCTTTTGAGAAAATTCTGAAAAGGATATTGACGAAGAATTGAGGGTGATATTTATTCGGAGCCACTCGATATTTTTAAACCAACAGAAGAAATAAACAGAGAGATATAAGAAAAAAATAATAATGAGATCGTTCGTTCTTTCAAGGAATCTTTCGAACATAATTTAGTTCAGAATTAAATTGAAGTCATCCAATACTCAAGATATTTCGTGTATAGGATAACTACAAAACACGTCTCAGTAAATAAGAAATACAAAATAAGTGAAATCCAGATCGATTGCTCACGTGGTATTCGATAAATTGATAAAAGATTGGTCGAAGTAGTATCGAAAAATTGATGATATATCATCATTTGTCACTCGGATCATCAAACCAATGGCATATTCTGATTCCTCGTTAAAAAATTCATCAGAATCTGTAGAAATTAATAGAATTTTCATGGACTTTTTTGGGATCCCTTTCTTCGCTATATGAAGTAATACTTAATGAAAGTATTTGAAAAATTTGATCAGCAAAGTGGAATAAACCAGGATACTGGTATTGGTAGTTCGTTAAACTTAATGAAAAACCTTTTTTCCAAAAGATCATTTCTACTTTTTTTATAAAATTAAGTCCATCAATTTCAAGTTAGTTTCAAAGAATTTGTGGTTTTAATCACTCCATCGAACGCAGGTTATCTTCAGAAATAATGAGTGTTAACAAAGCTTGATCAGAGATTCCTCACAATAAAGAATTTGGATCCTTATTCAAATCTCCAAAATCTTCAGATTTAACTCCTCTAAGGTGTGAATACGATTGCCAATATCTCAATACTATACTGATATTGTCACATTTTTGTATAATAGTGTTTAATCATTATCCAAATATCAACGGTCAAAATTGAGTACAAAAAACCGTTCTTCATTTATTTAATAGACTTTTCCTCCCTCTTTAATAGTAATTTTTTCTTTATGAACACATCATTTCTATGACTTTTACATTTAAACCAATGGATATATGATCATTATCCATGAAAATTCTGAAAGAGACACTACGTATATATATATATATTTAATTATGTATTGGCGCCTTTCTTTCATTTAGCTGATGCTAACATTCTAAATCTTATTATCGTTTCACTTATTCGCCTTGTCACTGTCGATTCAATCGAGAGATAATAAAGTTGATATTTTTTTAGATCAGACTTATTTCGTATAATCCAGCTGTTTAATAAAATATAAATAATACTTTTATATTATATTCTGGTTTATGTCAAACAAACATTCATAATGTCACAGAATACGACGTACAATTCTGAAGAAATAATTGTATTTGATGAACTAGAATGTGAAGTATGACGCAACTATTTTTGATTATTGTATCCATAGCTTTTTGTGTAACTAGAATGGAAAAAAAGAAACGATGGTCGATAAACAAACTGTTGTGAATACATTTTATGTTGGTGAGATTGTAAAATATTTTCGTCAACGACAATTTGGATTTATCAAAATGTATTGTTTCAGTAAAAAATTTAATAAGTAATTTTTGTTTGTTCACAGGTCATCGAGAGCGCTTTATGGATGTGATGACTTATTTTTCCATAAAAATAATGTGATAAACTATCGTCAAGTACGCAGTATCAATATTGGAGATACTTGTAAATTCCAAATAAATAATAGTGAGTATTCAATATTAAATTATTTTTATTTGTTCTTATTTTTTTTTGCAGACAACAAAGGAAACATAGCTGTCTCCATCGAAATACTGATAGATCCGTCTAAGAACTCAAGAATAAGAAAACCGTATAAAATTAATAATCGTCAACAAACGAATAACAATGAATCCAATCTTTTTCAAGAGACTTTGTGAGACATTTATTTTTTTTATGTCTAACTTATTTCTATGGATAGATTAAAATTGTTTATTCATACGGGAAAATACCATAAAAAATAATATTGAAAATTTGCATTGTTACTGTTGGATTATACGAAATTCATGAACGTATTGGTATCTAAGAAATTTTTCTCTTGTTGAAATAACTTTAAAATGTACTTATTCTAGTCTATGTAAAACTTTTTGTTAGATCTTTATATAATTGTTGTTTGCTGTTTGCTGTTTGTTCAAGAAGAAATATTTCTAAAGAACAATTAACATTTTTTTGTTCAAAAAAAAAGTTGATTCACCTTAGATAAAAATAAATGTATTAATTTATTTGTTTTTGAATCAATACAATATAAAAAAGAATTTGTTTTAAAGTGTTGCATGAAACAAAGTAGAATGAACAAAAGCATTCGATGGAAAAAAGTATCTCAATCTGTCTTACACAGCGGTATGAGACGAGCTATTTCGATTATTCTTACAATGCGCAATTATTTTCAGAAAATCTTATATCTCTTAAGATATACTGTAATAATAAGAAAACGTTCGTACTAGTTTACTAGCATATTTGTAAAAAAGAAAGATACATAAGAACCCTAGGAACATTACTTGTATCGAATATATTTCAAAGAACACCATTTTTTAAATTGTCAGCTTCCTGTACCCCATACAAAACAAAAAAAACTATCTCGTATTTCATTCATTCGCTTCTCTAAACAGAAGAAACACAGCATCTTTATCAAACGTTATATATTTCTGCTCGAATAAGATTTACGTCTATGGAGTTATTTCTACCAACGAGCTGAGATGTATCAGAAATCTTGTTTATATTCGTTCAAAGCATAGAAGAGAAAAATCATCAATTAATCCCAATTTTTAGAACAACTTGAATAAATTTGTTTGTTAGTTCATATCTTAAATGATATCTTAACAGAAAGTAAGTCGGATAAGAAGCACACAAATATAAATAAAATTTTTCATTACTTATAATTCGATTACCTTATTTTCTATCAGAGGGCTATATTTGATTTCTATAACCAAAAGAATTCATCTACAGCTAGTTGAAGTAGCCTATTCTATTGAGGTACTTTTTGCTCACAATTATTCTTTAGAAATGAACTGAAAAACAGCTGCACCAAATGAAAAGATGCGATACAATGGAGTGATTTATAAAGCTAATCAAACTGTCCTTTTCAGCACGGGACTCTGATATTAATTATAATTAAGAGCTTTGAACTGATTTATTATTCTGTTTGCCGCTATGTTTATCAGTTTAAAGGAAAGAACAACAACATTTAACATGATAAAATCATATTTTATGAATATACATTAACTCAATTTTTTTGAACATGAAGCATACACAACACGAACATTAAAGTAAACTAACCAATCGTCAAGAACAATTTTACTTTATAATCAAGTAAGAATATAAGAAAAGAAAGAAATAAAAACCGGCATTTAATTCAAGTGACATATAATTATCACTAAAATTGCACCACCTTTTTTTCATTTTGTTTTACATTTTAAAATAGTTAATGTGTGGATATGCTACAACTTTTCAGAAATTTTAAACTAAATAACTATCTTTTAAAGAAATTGTAACAAAGAAAAGCATGTTGCATATCAAATACATCAACATTAAAGTAGAAGTCTTGAAATCCATAATCTATTACTTTTTTTGCAGATATGAGTGGTTTCTGTACAAGAATTTGATCATAGAACATCGGACAAAGCCAGATGAAACCACGTATATTATATTTTAAACATCGATCAACATATAAAGGAGCATCACGAATATCATTAGTAAGCCTGTAACAAATAAACGTTTTCGTAGCAATGGCTTGACAAAAACCAAGTGTCTAGAAATATTAAACAAAAACAACTGAAAATTAATGTTATCAATATTTTCAATACAAAAGAATTCAACAGTTCTTATAATCTATAAATTCTAGGTACTGATAATTGATATAGAATTCTCATATTACAATTCTAAATAATTCTCTAATGAATCTTCAAAAATAATTATACTTTGTTACATCATTAGGCTATTCTTTAAAAGAAAGACTATTCGTTCTTAACTTGCATATAACAAAATACAACGAAACAAAAGGTATACATTCTTAAACTTGACTAACTGACAATCATGCACTTAGGGATTTAAAACAGCCAAAACATTTCAAGAGATCTCTAAAACCTTCAAAACGTTGCGTTATTAGTGGCTACGAATTATTATGAAAGCCTAAAAAATATCTAAAGATCTCATCATACTTTAAAAAGGCTTTCAAAAACTTCACGAGACTTGACAACACCTCATGTCACTTTAAACTATGAAAGACTTGTAGGAATTTCATTGGACCTTTACAAGTTTAAAAGCGTTTAAAGACCTCAAGTTAGTCTATAACCTTCATAAGACATGAACAAATTTCGTAGAATATCCTAAAATCTTTTAAGACTACAAGAATTTTAATCATTGAAAACTGATAACTTTCTACAGATTGGAAAAAAAATTTCGAACTTCGGTAAATCTCTCAAAGATTGTATAATATTTCTTAAAAATTCAATGAGTTTCGTGAAAGCTCTTAAAGCGTGGCGAAAGATTCGAGGATTTCGAAAGACTATGAAGCTTGATCGTAGTTTATAATCGAAGTCTACGATAATTCTTGTTGGAACATGGAATGAAAGAAAATTTGATTTTCTGATTTTCCAAATCATCTAAATTTATTATCATCGTTCAAAAGAAATTCCTATTCCTAATTTTATCTTATTATATTTTAAACAAAATATGAAGAGAAAAAGTTTTCATCTGACCGAAATTATTTTTGTACCATCGAATGCAACCTGCACAACATCCAAGTCAAACGTATATAGTAAAAAGGAAAGATTCATTTCTTCTCTTCCAAATATAAACTGAATTTTAATTATATGATCTTGATCAATATAAAGTTGAAATTCAATAAGCTTTCCATAGTAATTTTTTTCTGTTAATATGCTAGCATGAGCCCTTTGTTTAAAATTATTAATCTCATTAAGAAATGAATTCCAACTACCGCCTAACCAGAAAACATCCAAATCTTGTAATGATGAATCAAATCCTTCAATGAGAAGGCAATTGAGTACAGCACCACCTATATCAATTATTTTTATTGTAACAAAAAAAAATGTAACTTTATTATCTTACCGGCTATTACAAACGACGAAAAATTTATCCAATTTTTAATGGAAGAAAAAGAAAACCTATTATTCAAATTATTTATAAAACTATCTAAATCTTGAACAACAATAGATCCTTCTGTTAAATGACCGTGCCGACATATTCGAAATAAATCCATCTCAATTGATGTTAAGCTTCTACTTGAATAAAAAAAAGAATAATTGAAAAATGATAGAACTGGCATTTGAAAACACATGAAATGACATGTGTAAGAAAGAAAACGACAATATGCTTGAAATGATTGAGACTGACAACAATTCATAACGCTCATCAATCGTTCAGATGTAAATCCATTATAAATAAAACGTGAATAATAGCGACCAGACGATAATTGAACTATGTAATCGATTATTAAATCATAATAACCAAGCTTTGGTTTGGAGAAAACAACAGTTGTTTTATTCAATCTTTTCCTATAATAAAAACGAACATATCAATTTAGAACAAAATCTTATTTAAGCTTTTTTAAGGTCAAAAGCTCAGAAATAAATCTTCTTTCTTTATTATTGACTGTTATGTTTCCCAAACATAAACATCTTTAAAACGATTAATTTGTTTCGTATCGAATGTCAAAAAAAAAACTGTTTTAACCGTACTATTCAATCGGTAAAATAACTTCAGCGGACATTGTTACATTTTATGTACTACTTATACTATCTTGAAAAATATTCAAATTTATGTCATATAAGAAACAGTTTTCTGAGCTTCTATCATGTTTTATTATTTGGTAGTGCTTACATGCCTAGAATCGACCAAAATTTTCGCTCTGATTTCATAATTTCTTGTGATACAGATTCAGCAAAACTAAATGCATCATAGCCTGATAAAGAAGAACCAATAAGACATAAAATATCAAAAGGTATCTTGTCCAGCCAGTTTACAAATTGTAAAGGATAATTATTATTGTCCATTATAAGTGCCATTAGTTTTTAGAAGAGATTTCGAACTTTATTTTTTCACAAATACAATTATATTTACTGCGATTAACTGACGTAATGAATCTTCAGTTAATTAGATTCAAAGAAGTACGAAGAAAAAGAATAATAGATTTTTTTTATCAAACAGAAAAGAATAATATATTAACGAAAACTGTCAGAAACTTCTATCAGATGTTATAATATCAAATGATATCTAGTAGAGATTTTTTGCTTAGATGAAGATAGATCATAAGTATTCGAGTGATATTTCTGATGAAAACAAGCGATTTTTTTGCGCGTAAATTCTAATTAAAGATCAGGACTTAAAACATCAGATCATTTCTTTTCAATTGAAACACAATTGTCTGATTTTCTCGATCGAACTACAGATTCTTGAACAACAAATGGACGTTATTACTGGTTTTGTAACAGACGTTACCGGTGAAAAAAGAGGACCATCTAAACATTACCGACGCTTTGATGTTTTAACATCAACAAATGAACGAATTTCAGGTTGGGTTTTTTCGACAACGGAAATTGATCAGACGTATGCTGGAGATGTTCTTTTGAAATCTGCCAACAAAAATTCAGCTGTTTGTTTACATGGTAAAATTTCAAGTGATGCAGGTAGAATTCTTTTTCTATATAATATTTATTAATCGCTCTCAAAATAAACGTATAAAAAAAAATATAATTGCTGTTTTATTTTCAAAGGAGGTACTCGTACAATCAAAATATCGATTAATAACAAATTTGATAAATGTATAAATTGGTCACAAGTTCAAATTGTACGACCTGATAATGTTTTAGCAACGGCTCACATTGAAGATGTACTTTTATCAAACACACCATCTCGTTTAGAATGTGTTGTAATTGATGAAAATCAAGAAATAACTTTTTTACAGCACGATAAACAACGACGATACAAAGTGTATATCATTGGTGATGAAAGTGGAACAAGTCCATTATTAGTCTATGACGAATTGATTGATAGCTTAAAGATTAGCGAGAGTTTTATTTTTACACAAATTAAATCCAAAAAAATTCATGGGAAAATGATCTTAACTACCAGTACCAATAGCACGATTACTCAATCAACACATGTGAGTAAAAGCTATCAGATGAATTTCTAGATGATAAAAACTTTATTTGATAACACTACTAATGTTGTAAAAAACAAAACATAACAATACATAACTTCGATCTGATTTTCTATTTACTATTCATTGATGTTCATGACAAAAAAAAGATTAATCATAGTATGTTATAGTAACTGTAAAGCATGAAAGGCTACAAAAACATTTAGCTAATACACATTTCATGTTAGTTCATCAGAAACTTCCATCTCGCTTGTGTATCTATCACCAACTACGAACGAACAGAAATATTACTAAGAATATCTACGTGACTCGACAGTAGAAAGCATTATTGCCACTACATAGGAAGTGATCTATGAATCA